CTAGCTTTCGTCAGTGACTGAGAGACCAGAGGGGAAAGCAGGTTTATATACACAACCTGTTGATTGATATGCAAATAAAGTGAAGACAGATTTTTGGAAGTCGAAAAAGGAACAAAAGTCAGACAAGTCAAGCTGACGAAAGCTAGTGGATACTAGCTGAAACGTCTGACGTTTTCAAAATCATATCCAGTTGCTTGAGTAACTGTTTTTTGGCACAACAAGGCAGGTGTAGAATGGGATATGAGACAAATTATCTGTGTGCGGATGCGCGATTTTACAAACTAGAAAGGTAACATTTGCAAAGCAAATGCATAATGTTCACCTTCGCATATGGTCTGCTCTGTTAATTCTTACTCAAACACATTCATATATATGGTGACAGCAGTCTAAATCCCTCCTGCTATAAAATTGCAACATGATGTAACCCAACAATAGTTAGAATGGTGACAGACGTCTGGTTGAGGTCATTGAACTTATTTGTTTGGAGAAGAAGAAGAAAGTGAGCAAAAATAATATGTTTTCCTCCGGTAAACATAATTATCTACACAGAAAGCTCCTTGTTTTGTGGCCCTTGAAGAACGATATACTTTGTCGTCAATCAAGTTTCAATTCATTGTGCAGGCACAGTTTTAATTTGCTTATCACTTCTAGTGGAGTGAAAAACGTTGCTTTATTTTACCAATCTTGGTAATTATGGCGTAGACTAACTGTGTAGTGGGTATGTGAACAGCTTCGTAGTGGGGAAATATCAGATCATAATCAACAAATGAAAATGACTATCCTTAGCGGTTAGTTTTCTTACGGAATTGAAAGAAATCCCATCCTAGTGACGTACCTTACTTCTTCTGCCGAGTTTGCGAACAGCCTCAAAGTTGAGGAACTCCCACCAGTCCAAGGTGCCCGTCTGGTTGACATCCATGACCTTGAACTTTGCCCTCTCTCGGTCAAGTTCCTCCTCGCTCAGCCGGATGTCGAACTCTTCCATCGTCTTCTGTCTGTAGTTCAGATATTCGTCTAGCGATAGTGAGGAATCTGCGAAGGGGAAGAATATACGTTAAAAACTAGAAAGGTAACATTTACAAAGCAAATGCAAAATGTTTACCTTCGCATATGGCCTGCTCTGTTAATTCTTACTCAAACACGTATATGGTGACAGGAGTCTAAATCCCTCCTGCTATAAAATTACAACATGATGTAACCCGACACTAGTTACCATGGTGACAGACGTCTGGTTCGGGTCATTGACCTTATTTGTTTGGAGAAGAAGAGGAAGAAGAAACAGAGCCAAAACGATACATTTTCCTTCTGCGAAGGTAAACGTAACAACGTCAGACATAATGATAACGGTCACCTTTGTTGATGTCGCATCTCTCAAAGGCATCTATCAAGTCTTGCATTTCCTCCTCTGTTAGAAGGGGGCCGAGAGTTTCCTGAAGACAAAACAGAATACCGTTACATTTTAATCTCCAAGCAGATCCCTTTCGGTGGCAAGACAGTATCCATTGGCCAGAGAAGGTCGCCGGCCACTGACGGGGTAGCGACAAAAAAAACCGGCCATATATAAAAAGCTAACGATCATTCCCCCACAACCTCTGCTTGGAGAGTAATATCTAGGCCTCACATGTAATCTCACAGTTCTGTACCCCTCCTTGTTTCTTTTAACATTTTTTCCTGAGGTGGTTGTATTACTTTTCTTGTACGGACGGTGCCATTTAAAGTTTTTCGTGTCTCTAACTGAACAGATAGCTCATATAGTACAAGTACATGTTGTATGTGGGCAACTGAATGATTCAAAATCCTCAAACCAATAACGTTGTTTTTAATACTAGCGAAGGGCGCTCTCGTTTCCATACATCTATCTCTTGAACTCCACCGAAACGGATTCGAAAAACACAGTACATATACGTACAGAAAAGTATTACAATGAAATACCGTGTACATCAACCATTCACGTAAATATGGCCATCATTTGACTCTATTTCAATATATCTTGATTGTTATACGACGTGTGTTACGTGCTGTTGACACTCACACATTCATGGCAGCTCCAGCCGATGTTTGTCTTGGCTCGCATCAGCAGGCTGACGGCTTCTCTGCCCTGACACTGGCCGATCTTCTGTAGACAGATCTCGTGGTACACCTGCACGGAGGACAGGGATATGTCAGACCAACGTTAAAGGCACTCATTGCAGTCTTTAGGGCTTAGAAACCCGACTTTTCAAAGACAATATTCTAGTCATTTATCGACATACTGAGTTGAAGCCACACTGTCTAATTTGTATATTGACCCTCATGAAGCTACAATTACGAAAATTCTGATCGAAAATGGTTACTGGAAGGGCCCTGGGCTGGTTTTTAGGGTACCATCCAGAGAATAAAGGACACATCTTGGGGCTTGTTTCTGCTTTCAATGTGATTTGGAGTGTTCAGATGTGGCCACTTGAATCCTGCTTCGATGGAATCTGGATCGAAACCGGTTATACAGCGTATTCGTGTGAACGGGGCCGCAGTCGCACAGCGGGGCGTTGCCGAATCATATAATTTTGATACATGTTCATTAAAAGGTATTTTCTTCCGCCAATAAATATGAATAAACCTACTGTGGTCAATGGCCGGACCAGATCCGTGGACGGAACTGACCACTGCAACCATCAATTACCGCATACACAGTTAACCTTAATTTGATTTTATTCTGATGTAATCACCAGAACTAAGAGACACATAAACCCACAATACACACCCGTACAAGGCACGTGCCAATTAAGGCTATTACGGGATGTCACTGGTTATTATCTAAAAGGGTATTGGAAAAAAATACCCATTTTATTTGTCGGTTGATCTGTTGAAATTGTATGTAATTTAGTAAATGTGCAGCAGCTACCATGCAAGACATCACAGATATTATTGGGCAAAACAAAAAAAAAGGAAAGAATGTATTACATCAACTTATTAAGCTTGAAGTTGTCTGGAAATAATAGTTCTTGTTTAGCACGCTGTTTGTAAATGAGATACAACAAGAAGACCAACAAATGTCAAACATCTTTCAACATTTCCCGGAGGTATGAGATCTATGAACTCCTTTTTTTAATGTATGTGTCAAGAATTAATGATCTTCACTTGAAAATTTGTCATATGCATTGTGGGTATCGCCATGATAAGGGTGCACCATACGTCATAGATTTGTTTGTTATATTTGAAAAATTAATGAAATCGTGTACATCATCAATCGAAAATCATCATAACAAATAGCTCTGTCATATTTACTTATTTTGTTGCCATAGTGATAGTATTCCATACAAATACTGCCTTTGAAAATCGTTTACAATTGAATTAATTAGTAATTCAATGGGGAATTGTCCTCCTTTACTCTGTTGGCATATTGTTTGGCATTGGGCCACAGCAAGTAGTTTTTTATGGATGGCATCAACGCGCGCATTGATTTTCGCCTGATTTTGAAAAAAAATTGTTGCCTTCTGACAGTGGTCAACATGCCAAAAATGGGCAAAGATGTCTGTTGCCATGCCGGAACGTGGATGGCAGATAAATACGAAGAGAGGAGACAAGACTAGGATATGATTTATTGTTTTGTCTTTTACTTTGATACAGTGTCGTATTTCACTCCTTTTATGTCATGTCCCCTGAATCAAAACCATTTGTACGATGATTGAAATTAAACGTTTATTTTTCAGTGAGAAATGAATATTGTACTAGTCGGCACATCATCATCATCTACTAGTCGGCACAATATAGGTATCATTTCTTGTTTAACAAGGTTTATGATGTCAACATTTGAAGATGTAGAAACCTTGCATTTTGGGGCCCGTCTTGTTTTTTTTTTCCCTATCCCATTAGATTTGGAGTCTGCGGAGGATGTCATCCATAAAATTTACTTGCTGTGGCCTCGGTAGAAACTACATTGACGTAAGATTCTCAACGGACACTACTTCAAACACACAGACACAAGCAAGGCAACACGGGAGCGTTCATAGTGTTCTCCAAACAGGGCTAGACATAGAATAAGCGCTTTCTTGTTTTGTTGTTTGCAGCTTAGACATGCTTTTGCCTAAGGGGAGGGGGGGGGTGCGTGACGCATACAGATAAAAATAAAAATGGTTGAAATACTCTTCTTGCCATCTCATCTATAGATCATAGAATCATCATAGATCATGAATACTTGAATCATTGAGTGTACATCGTAGCACTTTACAATAGAGCACAAATTGCATTCCAAAGACTCCCGTGAAAGCCAGTGTATTCAGCTAACAAAGTTATTGTAAATACCACATTGATTGGCGTCGTGTGGCGTAATGGTTAGGGTGGCCCAGAACCCAGAAGTACCGGGTTCGATCCCTGACATGTCCTGACATTGCGCCCCTGGGAATAAAGGCACTTAACACGACTTTCCTCACTTCACTCGGGTGGAAATGAGTACCTAGCTTCGGTTAGGGACGTCCCTCGGCTAGGACGTTAAATGTTTATTTTAATATTGTTAATATCAATGTCATTCAGGCAACATTATATGTATGTCTGCAAGGTTAATATGATAATTGATAAAAATTGAAATAAAATTGAAAGAAATCTCCTACCTTGGAGCAGACTCTGCATGGATAGATCTCGTTCCCAGTGTAGACTCCGCACACCGAGCACAAGTCGTCTGACTCTATCTGCAGACATATATAACACAACCGTTAGAATTCAAACCGTAATTAATTATGGTAATTAATTAATTAACGCACGTAATCAATTTAGCCAACCAGGCCTCGGTTCAAAAACTTTTCTTTTTTGGGGTGGGGGGTGATTGTCATTTACAAAATCGACCAAATTTCATGGACATGTATTGCTTTCAACGCCAATTGATATATTTGTTTGGCAAAACTAACTGACATATTCATTTTTTTCATTTATTCAATATTGCTGTTGCGATCATTGTTAGAGGAAATATTTAAAAAAGCTTGTTTCAACATTATACTATAGTTATATAAGATGTCGTGATTCCGGATAATAAGTCACAAAAAAATTATTCTAATAAGTTATGAGGGTCATGTAATAGTTACATCTATGTAAATCCTACCCAAGAGCAAATCGTTATGTTTACCGAAGGAAAACGTTGTTTTTTACAGTTTCTTCCTTTCTTCCTCTTCTTCTCCAAACCATTCCCAATAAGATTCATGCCCTGAACCAGACGTCTATCACCATGGTAACTACTAGTGTTGGGTTACATCATGTTGCAATTTTATAGCAGGAGGGATTTAAACTCCTGTCTGACCACATATATAAATGAATGTGTTTGAGTAAGAATTAACAGAGCAGACCATATGCGAAGGTAAACATTATGCATTTGCTGTGCAAATGCTACCTTTAATTTCTAGTTTACTTATTTGTTTTCGCATTTCTCGATAATTCTTTTTTTTTCACCATCAAGTGCACGTTCTAAAACTACCCATTATGGCCTCCTTCGCCTCATGGTTTAGTCATTCCGTCTAGTCCTTCCTTACCCCGCAGGAGTCTGCCTTTTATCAACTTGGACAACGAGGTAAGTACAACGTTTGCCTGGGAAAATTGCATTTGACGGGCGCGCTAAATCGAAAGCCTACCTAACTCATTCTTGTAGCCGAGGAAAGCTTTCCCGTGCATTGTAATAGCTTTCCGAGGCATCAGAAGCAGTGAGAAATACCCTGCTTGACTGCCATCACAAAGAGGAGATGTCCACAATAGAACACTTATATTAGGAACAGTACGAAATTGACACACTAAGTCGTGTAATGTTAGTGATTTTCCAGCATTTAGACTTGTTCTTTAGTCTCATTTGTAATGTATAATACTTCAGTATTGATAATATTTTTGAAGGACGTGTTTGTGTACAGAAACCGCAATTCAGCACTGGTGCTGCGAAGGTTTTTATATTTTGAGCATTTTCTCTCATCAGAACGTTAGGCCACAGCAAGTAAATTTCATGGATGACATCCTCCGCAGACTCCAAATCTAATGCGATAGGGCGAAAAAAACAAGGCAGGCCCAAAATTCAGACAAAATTCAAGATTCGTACACTTACAAATTTTGACATCATAAACTTTATTAAACAAGAAATGATACCTATATTGTGGTAAGTTTACTGCCAAGTATTACAACATCTATTTCTCACTAAAAACAAGTTTGAAAACAAGTTTCCAATCCTTGTACAGATGGTTTTGATTCCGTGGGAACATCACATATACACAGCCAGCAACACATGTAAAAGGAATGAAATACTTCACTGCATCAAAGTAAAAGACAAAAGAATCTTTCGGCATGTTGACCACTATCAGAGGGCAACAAAATTTCTTGTTTTTATTAATTTCCAAAATCAGGCGAAAATTGATGCGCGCGCTGATGCCATCCATAAAAATTACTTGCTGTGGCTTTAGAGAGAGGAACCACAGGGTAGTGGGATGTCTGGGAGGGTATCTGATCGTCATTTCGGCGCTCGGTTATGTTCTTGAGGGACGAAGATAAGAACATGAGAGCACGGTTCATCACAGCGAGCGCGGTAACCTTTTTATGTAGCTTTCTGACTCGAGCAGCATTAAAAAATAGGCACATTGTCGAAGAGCAATAAATCAGAGATGTCATGCCTCCGTGAAATATGTATAGATTTTATGTGAATTTCGTGGTTAATATTCCTTGTATTTTTTTTATTTTTATGTCTATACATTATGCCACTAATGATGGCACCCTGCCAATGGCCTACTTCAAACACATACACACAAACACACACACACATAGGTGTGTATACACACACACACACACACACACACACACACACAAACAAACAAACACATGTGTACACACACATACACTCTCTCGCACACACACAAACACACACACACAAACACACATAATACACACACAAACACACACACACACACACACACACACACACAAACACACACACATACACACAAACACACATAATACACACACACAAACAAACAAACAAACACATACACAAACACACACACACACAAAGAAACACACGCAGATCGAGAAACGCGCACACGCACACAAACATACACACACAGACACAAACACACACACACAAACACACGCACACACAAACACACACACACACAAACACACATAACACACAAACACACATAACACACACACAAACACACACACACACACAAACACACACACACCTAAAATAGCACCTCCTAATTTCAAGAGAAGTTCTCGTCATCACAAACATTACGCTTCAAGTTTAACCTGCTACACGTCTATTCTTTAATCCTAATGCATTTTCCTTAGTAAGTAGAATCTAGATCAATCCTTGCTCTATATAATGTACTGTGTGCTCGTCGTAAAACAACATATAACTGCTTGTGCCGTAGTAAATTGCGTTCTGCTGAGCAAACTAGAATGCTGGAAAAAAAGAAGCCCTCCAAATCACCCCCAACAACCTTTTAATCCCTGGCTGAGTGATGATATTAATCAGAACTGTGCACACAGAATTTTTCAACTGTTATTGGTGAAAGGGTGAAAGGGTGTGCCGAGATATGATTCGACGCGACAACGGTTCCATGTAACAATACTTAATGACGTGATGTTTTCTACACCTATACACGCCGTATAGGGTTCTTGATAACACATACATTTTTAAAGGAATCCAATGCAATTTCAAAGCGGCAAAACTGGATTTTTTTGGGTAATATTTTTAATTTATTAAGTTGAAGCAATTTTATCACATAGCATATTGATAATTTGTCAGGCATAAATGCGATGTAGCTGACGGAAAACGGTTGCTTGTTTTTTGTAAACTTATTTTGCATATCGTATAAGCTGGTTCTATATTTATGGGTGGCACCCAAAAAATAAAGAGACGCCAAACAATGACCTCTGACCTGGTCAAAGACCTGAAGCAGACCGTCTGTCACCATGGTAACTGGTGTTGTGTTACATAATGTTGCAATTTTATAGTAGGAGGGATTTAGATTCCTGTCACCATATATATGAATGTGTTTGAGTAAGAATTAACAGAGCAGACCATATGCGAAGGTAAACATTATGCATTTGCAAATTGCTTCGCAAATGTTACCTTTCGAGGTTTTTATTGTTTTACGGCCCTGAAATTACATTGGATACTTTTCAAGGTTTGTTACTCTTGGCAAAGTCACGGAGGAATATTTCCTCCATTTTGTTCTTCTTTGTTCTGTGCAGTTTGCATGATGATGAACGGAACAGCTAGACGCAAAAAAACACACTGTCAACTTCCTGTCACGATATGCACCTGCCTGTGTTATAAGCTGTCAGATTTGGTAACAGCCTTAGATTAGAACATCCTGTCTACATGCATTTAACTATATATATATACACATAGGCTCACACAATCAGGTACACAACGATAATCAAATTAATAAGCAAGCAGTCGAAGCACATCCCTTCTTCTTTATTCAAGTTTCTTGACATTGATACGAAATCCTCTGATTCCATGCCATAGCGCGGTGGTGTTCTGTGTCCTGAATACTAATCGTTCTCCCACGGCCCTTCTTGACTGAGCACACCGCTAGGGGAGGCCAAGGATTAATGGCTCACAACGGTAACGCGTCAGAAACGCGTCAGTGCTACACCAGAGGTAGAGATGTGAAGGTCAAATGATTACGAGCAGTATTAGGCCACAGCAAGTTACTTTTACGGATGACATCCCTCCGCAGACTCCAAATCTAATGCGAGCGGGCGAAAAAACAACAAGGCGGACCAAAAAAAAAACAAGATTCCTACATTTTCAAATTTTAAACAAGAAATGATACTTAAATTGTGCAAAGTTTACTGCCAACTACTACAACATCCATTTGTCACTGAAACAACTTTGAAAAATTAAAGTTTTCAATCATTGTACACATGGTTTTGATCCAGTGGGAACATATATAAAGGAATGAAATACTTCAAAGTAAAAGACAAGACAGTAAATCTTCTATATTTATCTGCCATCCACGTTCCAGCATGGCAAGACATACCATCTTGCCCATGCATTTTCGGCATGTTGACCACTGTCAGATGGCAACAAAATTTCCTTTCCAAAATCAGGCAAACATTAATGCGAGCGCTGATGTCATCCATAAAAATTACTTGCTGTGGCCTAACATTAAAAGAACATGCCGGCAAACGCACGCGTCAATACTGAGAACCATGACGCAATCGTGTCCCACATGTAGGCTGGGGAAGTTCAAGGATTTCCTAAGAGTAAGAAAAAGCACCGACAAAGGTACGTTATGGCGCAACTGTAACGCAAAGGACGGGATAAAGAAAGCCAAAAATCCCCAACAGTAAGAAAAAGCACACAAAGGTACGTTATGGCGCAACTGTAACGCAAAGGACGGGATGAAAAAGCCAAAAATCCCCAACAGTAAGAAAAAGCACACAAAGGTACGTTATGGCGCAACTGTAACGCAAAAGACGGGGTGAAAAAAAGCAAAAAATCCCCGAACAGTAAGAAAAAGCACACAAAGGTACGTTATGGCGCAACTGTAACGCAAAGGACGGGATAAAGAAAGCCAAAAATCCCCAACAGTAAGAAAAGACCACAAAGGTACGCGCCAATAACGGGTCAATATTGCGTAATGACGCAACCGCTACACCACCAAGGATTCCCAAACAGTACTTAAGGCCCACCCAAGCACGCGTCATT